CTCCTTCTGCTATACAAACCTGATAGTAACCCTTTTGGAGATCCATCTTTGTGTACACCTTGGCTCCACCAAGTCTGTCAAACAAATCCGCTATCAAGGGAATAGGATAGCGGTTTTTGACAGTTACCTTGTTAAGTGCCCGGTAGTCCACACACATCCGTAAGGAGCCATCTTGCTTCTTTTGGAATAATACCGGGGCACCATAAGGAGCTTTCGATAGTCTCAGCATCCCAATCGAAAGTAGTTCATCGAGTTGTTTCCGAAGTTCCGCTAGTTCAGATGGGGCCATGCGGTATGGTGCCATTGCGGGGGGCTTGGCTCCTACTTCCAACTCGATCTCGTGATCTACCTCTCTCCTTGGGGGTAGCTCATTGGGCAGCTTCGGTGGCATCATGTCTTTGTTCCTCTCGAGAACTGCCTCGATCATGGGAGGAGTGGTACCTGCCTTTCCTAGGTCGTCATCCATCTTCACGAAGGCAAGGTATGTCGCCTCCCCTTTCTTCACCCCTGGGTGAGTTGCATTGCCGAGAGATGCCAAACTTCATCCCTCCTCTCCTTGGGAGCATCCACGGTTGGGATCATACATGGAGACCCCTTTTACAGTATGCACACTGTGCTAAGGGCGGGCATAGGGATCGCCGAGACTTGCCTCTGGAAATCCAACCCAAGCACGACCTTGAAGTCGTCCATCTGTGCTACTGAGAAGTTCACCAGACCGGTCCAAGCCCCCACCCTGAGCTCGACATTCCTGGCAACTCCATGTAGTGGTTTGGCTTTGGCATTGACGGATTTAAGCCAACCCTCTCCCTTGGTCCACGTGAGACCGAGTCTCTTTGCCTCCTCATCTGACATAAAATTATGGGTTGCGCCTGTGTCCACCATAGCCTGTGTTGGTTGCCCATTGATGAGAACTTCTACGTACATCAGCCCCTTACTCATGACCTTAGACATGGGAGTTATCTTAAGGGCGTTGAGAAGTTGAAGAGATCCCATCATCCCGGCCTCCTCCTCATGGGATTCGGCTTCTCTTTGCTCCAGCAGTGCGGACAAGGAACCAAGCTTCGGGCACTCCCTTGCTGGATGTGGTCCTTTGCACACATAACATCCTCCTCTTGGAACAAAGGTACGCTTCTTTGCTTCATACTCCTCACGTCCTGAGTTCCTCCCTTGGCTCTGAGGATAAGGTGGAGCCGTCTGATCCCGCTTTTTCCCCTCGGACCGTGGAGCTACCTTCTCTTTCCTCCTGGAATTCTCTGACTGGTTTTGGTCATAGAAATCCAAAAGAGACTCGGTCACGGCAATGGCTTCATCCACAGAGTTCACCCCACGCCGCTGTAGCTCCTGTTTGGCCCATCCTTGGAGTCCATCCACGAAATGGAACACCAAGTCCTGGTCGGACAGATTTGGGATCTGCAGAGAAAGGGTAGTAAAATCCTTGACATAGTCGCGGATCTTACCCTTTTGTCGGAGTTCCATCAGCTTCCTCTTAGCCTCATAGACAACATTCTCTGGATATAACTGCCATTTGAGTTCCTTCTTGAACTCCTCCCACGTGTCCATCCGGCATGTGCCCCTCTCAATGTCACTATGGCGCCTCCGCCACCACAGCATGGCCGTATCCGTGAGGTAGGATGTGGCCGCCTTGATCTTTGCCGACGCATCGGTAAGACCGCCCCCATCACTGTCTCCTCCAACCTGGTGAATCGCCCCTCAATCCCACCCAAGTCATTCTTGACTTCTGCCATCTCGTTGAACAGTGCGTTCTCGAGTTCAGAAGTCGAGTGTTCGGCTCGCTCTAGTCATTCACCCATATCGGTAATGGCTATCCCCATAGCCCCGACCTCATCACGGACCTTGCTCTTGTCGCGCTTCCTCCTGGTAATGTTCTCAAGGCCGTCCTGGTCTTTGCCTCCATCGGTACTCCTGAGAACATCCTCAGTGTTCGACATTGCTCGGCCTTTGAACGGAACTCGGCTCTGATACCACGTGTCACGGACTTGATAATTAGGATCAATTCCGTGCGGCCCTAGCCTCTCTTTGCCTCTGCAAATAGACTAGGCAGCCTGTCTCACAAAGAAGAACCTAACTCTTTAGGAAAGAACTTTGAAAGAAAGAAGGAAAATGCTTGAATAGCTCTCTTATTCAAGAATGAGTGGATGATTACAAATGAGGGATCCACCCCTATTTATACAAAAACACCTCCAAGATGGATGGTGAGGATCATCTTGATCTAAGGGCCAATATTGAAGATATGGCTTTAATTACAAAATCAGTAACTAATGAGGACAGATTTGTAGGGATTTGGGCGAATTTGTAGGGATTGATGGGTTGACTAAGCAGATTCTCAGGAATTGCTTCTATCCTCATAAATGCCATCAAATCTTCTAGAAGTCCTTCCAAAATCATCCAAGATGATAACCTCATGTAGTCACTCGCTGGTCCGGCCCAAATAGATGTTGTGCGGATTAGGCCGTGACACACAGCTTTAGACGACTCTAGGCTTGGGTTAATTAACTATGTTGAAAACTACATCCTAGCTATCTTTTGTCATTAAACCTCTAAATTAATGGTTGATTAGAATTTATAATTATTAATTCCATATGCTATATCCCCCATTTGCCCTACAAACAATGTACTACCGTGTTTTCAACAAACAAATAACATTTTTAAAACTACCATGTTATGAAATACTATCGATCAAAAGTAGAACGTATATTATTTACACAAAGGGAAGATGTTGAGGTTTTCATTGAAGTTTTTGTTATTGTCAGAATACTAACTAAATGCATTTTTGTTATATCATGGAGTGTTTTCGTAGCTTTGTAGTTAAAAAATAATTATGTCAGATAGATATATCGATTTAAAATACAAACTGGAACTTTTTATTAAATATATATATATATATATAGTATAATAACTTCAGTATCATACTCTGTTGGATCAGCTTTAGTTTGATGTTTGCAAATCATTTAGACACACTAACTGAAGTTTCTATTCACATAACCTTCATAAAACTGTTTTTTTTTTAATTTTATCTAAATCAAAAAGTTATAGCCTTAGAAAGCTATAAAGTTTCCTAAACTTTCCAAATGTCTGAAATTATTTCAATGATATTTCTAATTATATATAGATATTTCAGTTTTAAAAATTTTACCTTTAAAAAACCTATTATTACTAACAATTTGAAATAATTCATTATAATTGATTTAATTGTTGGAGCTTATTTGCAATAAAAACGCAATTAATAAAGAGTTTACATTTCACAACATTGATTTGACTCTATTAACTCATAAATTTTTTGCACAAGGTTGGTACTTAACATTTGTGTAGATTTATCATTGCTTATCTTAGTTGAATCGATGATCTCTTTGAACCTCCTTTTTGCAATCAGATGCACCTAAGTGCCTCTTGGATAAGAATGATGCTGCAATACGCTCCCAATCCAATGTCCCATACTTCATCACACCAATTATTACTGCATGATCATCAACAACCATGGATCTGTTCTTATTTGACATGATTTTTGTAAAGAAATCTGAGAAAAATGGAAAAAGCGAATTATGAAAACAGTAATGATGAGATTATGAGATGAAGAATGATGGAGACAGATTATATAATATAATGATGTGATGAGATGAAATGTGAAATACACAACTAACGGACTTAGTAAATTAAAAAGTAACTGTTTTGTTGTTTTTTTTTCTTTCTTCCCCCCTCTCCTTCACACAACTACGGACTTAGTAAATTAAAAAGTAGCCATTTGTTGTTTTTTTTTTCTTTCTTTCCCCCCACCCTCCCCCCGTTTGTTGTTTTTTTTTCTTTCTTTCCCCCCCACCCTCCTCCCCCCCCATTGTTTGAAATTAATCTGGTATCCAAAAAATATTAAAACCGGTTAAAGAGGTTAAATGATTTTGCATATTTCAGCGGTTAAAGAGGTGTTTTATTACCACTCTTTACACTCGTATCAAGATTTCATTATTATCGACAGGCCATTAATTTATATATATATGTGAGATTTGGTTTTATACAGCTTCACCGAAGAGGACACAATCTCCCATGGAAGCTCAAACAGAAGTCAACCAAAGGAGTGAAGAGGAAAGTGTATCTTTGTCCGGTTATATGCTTATATACATCACATGAGATACATTCAAATCCTAGAATATACATTGGTCATTATCTCTAATAAGATGCAGTCCTCGGGCAAGGAACCGAACGGCGACGTTTCCGAAATGTCCCACCTCCCCCTTCGCCGCTAGATCCGACGCTGTGTTTTTTTTCTCTGCATCGTCTACAATCTATAGTTGGAAAAGCTTGAGAGAGACAGGCCAAAGACTTTTACTGGTTTCTTCTGTCTTGAAAAGTCGTTACTAGCTCGCAACATATTTGACGAAACTACCTTCTCTGCATTAATGTGCACGTTCCGGATCATTCCAACCAACATAAGGTGAGATCAGGATCATGAACTCGTCTTTGGCAAGTGAAAAGAAAAACACACTTTAAAACTGTTTATGCCAATGAGAATGATGAATATAAAGATCAAATATCCAAAATTCAGAAACATTACAAATCCACAGACTTCGATTCTTGTTACATATTTACGAAACTACCACTATTTGCATCGATGTGCACGTTTCGTCTCTGTCTCTGTCTCATTCTCCACGTGTATAATGATGCCTTCGGTTTCGAAATAACAAACCTTATAATAAAGTCAAAGTCATATAAGAATAAGATCATCAATGATCTAAATTCCCAACCATAGCCATATATATTTTCAATGGTTTATAATTATAACCATAATTTTTCTTCTAAAATCTAATGATCTATAAGCATATAAAGAGGAGAATTCTACTAATTATATTCATACATTTTCATCGTAAGATTAAACAATAAATTTATACATCAATGAACCAATAACATCAAATTTTAAAACAAAGACAAAATGAGAATATTTCAAATAAATTGACTTACACAAAACTCTGTTCGTTCAACAAGGACGGTGCATGAGGCGAACCATAATCTCATTCGAGATCCCTCCCGCTACTCTCGGGATGTTAGACACTGCAAGTGTCCTCATATCAGTCCCTATCTGCGATAGACTCATCGTTCCTTTTGCTTGAAGATTCACAGGTCAAGCTAAAGGATTCACTGATCTACAACGTATGGAGATTGGACTTTTCGTCTCTGTTCTGAGCTTGGCAGCTGCAGCTATCGTTGAGACGGTTCGGTTACGGTTGGCACGAGATCTTGATCTGCTTGAAAATTTTGCAATCGGTTTCGTGTGAATTCAATCTTATTACCAGTTATATAGTTAGTTCAAGGAATTGTGATTTCGTATCTTGCAACTTTGCTGAGCTTTTAATTTGAGGGTTTAGCTTGCTGCTGATGCAGTTTATGTATATTTGGTTCAGATGTATTTGTTTCAAAGAGAAGTAACAGAGAAAGGTTTCCTATTGGCGTTGATGCTATAGAAACTGTAGGAAGTTGGACAGTCTTCACAGCTTCTATTTTACCAATCATGCTTTTACTACTTTAATTCATTTTAAAGTTTTCTTAGTCAATTTCAGTTTTTTTCCTTTCTTTTGTATTGTTTTTTTTTAAGTTTTTTAAATTTGGCTGTGAAAACCAAAAAATCTTTTTATTTCCTTTTTTTATTAAAATAAAGTTTTTTTTTCTCATAGTAACTAAAATCTATATCTAAATTTATATTGATTTTATCACAATTTTTTTAGATAGATTAATTATTACACTTTTTTCTTTCTTTTTTTAAAATCCATATCACCATATTTTTACATCACTTTATTATTATGTTGTCTGTAGTATTATAAATTAGAAAGTATGGAAAATAGGAATAAACCATAGTTTTTAATTATTTTTACTTATTTTTATAATAAATAAAATTATTAATTATTGATATTTTTTCTCTTTATAAAGATTCATTTTTACAAATAACTAATCAATTTTCAATTTTTTGTTATGCATGTAAAAAAGTTTAATAAAATATCAAAATTGTTTTTTACATATTGATATTTATAACAAATTAAAAATATAACATTTATAATTTAGAAAAATATTTTTTTATAGTCATAGTTTTTATAGTTTCTTGTTACCAATCATACTTTTAAAAATATATAAAGTAACAGTCACAGTTTTGGTGGCGTTGGTAAATATTAACCTTTCGTGTATATAAAAATATCTAAACTCTAATATAGTAGAAAAAATAAAATATACATCAAATCCATGGACGATTAATCAAGCTAGTTTCCCACAGTTTTAGACGACTCTAGGCTTGGGTTAATTAACTATGTTGAAAACTACTTCCTAGCTATCTTTTATCATTAAACCTCTAAATTAACGGTTGATTAGAATTTATAATTATTAATTCCATATGCTATATCCCCCATTTGCCCTACAAACAATATACTACCATGTTTTCAACAAACAAATAATATTTTTAAAACTACCATGTTATGTTATGAAATACTGTCGATCAAAAGTATAAGGTATATTATTTACACAAAATGAAGATGTTGAGGTTTTCATTGAAGGTTTTGTTATTGTCAGAATACTAACTAAATGCATTTTTGTTATATCATCAGAAGGAGTGCATTCTTTTTGCTAGTATTTTACAATCAGATAGTATTTATTCATTTGTGGTAGACGCAAAAAGAGAGAAAAAAGTTGTCTCATCAGTCACTTTTAACGCATTAGTCAATGGGAATCGGCAGAAGGAGACGCCAATAGACGAACAGGCTTATACCGGCGGTTACGGGTTGCCGGTTTACCTTTTCGAAGATCTGACTTTGCTTAATTAATGGCATGCAATGCAAGTGCAACACCATTTTTGAAAATGTCAATTTTCTTTCTCTCTAAGAACTCGCCAAATTAATAATACACAGCCCTTCAAAAAATTTTAATTTGTTAATTAATGTCGGAGTTTGCATCTTTATTGTGTCTACTTATTTCTTTTGACTAGGACGTTAGAGAAATTATTTCGACTTTTACATGTGTTATTGTGTTTACTTTTTTTCAACCAAAATCTAAGACTATTCCCAATGTATTTCTTTATTTTCTACTCCAAACTAGAGTAACTCTAAATTGGAGTTGTGTTTTGCTCCAATGTATTTTCTCTATTTTCTACTCTAAAAAGAAATATTCTAAATAGATTCTTATTCGATTTTATTATAAATACTTTTAGTTTTAAAATTTACAAATAAATCCAACTTATTTTATTATTTACAATTTCTTTCAAAAACTATAACTTAAATATTTATCAAATAATAAAAATTACATAACATCACAAAAAGCATATGTAATTTTTATTTAAACATTACTATTACTAAAAAATTTATCATTAATGTTTTTAGTATTTGTTGTCTTAAATTTATTTATATTGTTTATCGTAATTTCAGCACTTATTATGTATTTTAAATTTTATTATATTTTGTAATTTTTAGGAATAATTGCAGTGTTTAAATATTTATAATTATCAATTTTATAATATTTTTTTATAAATATTATATAGTATAAAATATAATTATTTTAAATCTAAAAGATTAATTTGCAAATAAGAAAGTCTAACTCCAAAATGGAATAGAGTTTAGATCTACTCTAAATATGGAGTAGAATTTAAGTTTACTTTATTTTGGAGTTGAAAATAGAGTAGAGTTGGAGAGAATTTTACTCCAAAATAGCATTTGGAGTTAAAAATGGAGCAGGGCTAGAGATGCTCTAACATGTGTTTATAAGTGTAATTGCAGTAAAAAAAAAAGTATATTTAATTTCATTTTGGAAGTTTTGGATTGGCACAACATATATTGTTAAGATACCCACTTATATATAAGCCCAACAGATCCAATAACTCTGGTTCAAAAAATGGAATAGAAACTAATCACAAAACATTTGTAGACAAAACTGTATCAAAAGTTTAAAACTAAAGAATGTGGTTCTGTGGTGACTGGTGAGTGACCACTCACACCAACAACTTGGTCAGTGCGAGAATATTTTTTTTTTTATTGATTATTCGTCGAGATGCTTAAATCAGCTTGTGTGAAAGTTGTTGTCATGTTCAGGCAAAAGTAAAAAAGATGAGCTCCATTGATGAAGAAAGATCACTCCCTGGAGTCGAAGAATCTCTTTTGCAGGTACAAACCCCATGTCTCTATGTATAATCATTTCTTCAATTCCACTTGTTCGTAGTCTCTTATCCCTAAAGATAGTCTGAAGAATTGCTTAAAATTTTCTATCATGAGGAAGTTAAATCAAGCTTTAACATAACTTTATGATCCAATCTGATACAATTATGTTTGAGTTACATGCCTCTGAAGATCTATGTCTGTTTTTGTTTTCTTCCAGGAAGAAGTGAAGTTGTATGCTGAAGATGGTTCAGTGGATATTAATGGAAACCCACCATTGAAGCAGAAAACAGGAAACTGGAAAGCTTGCCCATTCATTTTTGGTAAAAAAAACACTTTCTTTATCTTGAATTGTAATACTTAATCCTCTCATGTCCTGTCTTTAACTTCCAAAATTCGGTATTGCTTTGGTGCAGCCAACGAATGCTGCGAACGTTTGGCTTATTATGGCATTGCCAAGAATCTAATCACTTACTTCACAAACGAATTGCACGAGACCAATGTTTCTGCGGCAAGACACGTCATGACTTGGCAAGGAACATGTTACATCACTCCTCTTCTTGGAGCTCTAATAGCTAATGCTTATTGGGGAAGATACTGGACAATTGATTGTTTCTCTGCGATTTATTTCCATAAGCAAAATGGTTCATCTATAGGACTGATTGTAGCAGAATATAGTTCTTGTATGTTAGTTAAAGAAGTTTCAAAGCTTCTCTTCTTATCAAACTGTTGTGGTTATGTTCTTTTGCTTGATATTCTGTACTTTGAATCTGTTTTGTAAGGGAATGGTTGCATTAACACTCTCAGCTTCAGTTCCAAGTCTGAAGCCAACGGAATGTAAAGGCTCCATCTGTCCACGAGCAACAATGGCTCAGCGAGCGGTTTTGTTTTCAGGGCTTTACCTAATCGCTCTTGGAACCGGAGGAATCAAACCATGTGTCTCATCCTTTGGTGCTGATCAGTTTGATCAGACTGATCCAAAGGAACGTGTCAGAAAATCTTCTTTCTTTAATTGGTTCTACTTCTCAATCAACGTTGGTGCATTTGTCTCATCTACTTTGCTAGTGTGGATTCAAGAGAATAGTGGTTGGGAACTTGGGTTCTTGATACCAACAGTGTTCATGGGACTTGCGACTGCGAGTTTCTTCTTTGGCACTCCTCTTTATAGGTTTCAGAAACCTGGAGGCAGTCCTATTACTCGATCTTGCCAAGTTCTTGTAGCCTTATACCGTAAATGGAACCTCAATGTCCATGAAGAAGAAGATCACACACTTCTGTTCGAAATAACGGATGTAACGCGGAAGATTGAACACACGGACGGTTACAAGAAAATCTTTTTCCCTATAGTTTCTCCATTTGACAATTTGAGCATTAGACTGTTCATTTGGTTATAACATATCTGTTTTCATATCAATGTGCAGGTTTCTTGACAAAGCAGCGATTATCTCAGAAGGAGACTCAAAATCCGATCCGTGGAAACTTTGTACCGTGACTCAAGTCGATGAAGTCAAGATTCTGCTACGTTTGTTCCCCATTTGGGCCTCAGGGATCGTTTTCTCATTCCTACATTCACAAATATACACTTTGTTTGTTCAACAAGGAAGGTCCATGAGACGAACCATAGTCTCATTCGAGATCCCTCCCGCTACTCTCGGGATGTTCGACACAGCAAGTGTCCTCATATCAGTTTCAGTATACGATAGACTCATCGTTCCCTTTGTGAGGAGATTCACAGGCTTAGCTAAAGGATTTACTGATCTACAACGTATGGGGATTGGACTTTTCGTCTCTGTTTCGAGCTTGGCGGTTGCAGCTATCGTTGAGACGGCTCGGTTACGGTTGGCAATGTGGAGACACTGTTCCGTTGAGTATCTTCTGGCAAATCCCTCAGTACTTTTTTATGGGCACAGCTGGAGTTTTCTTCTTCGTTGGTCGGATTCAGTTTTTCTATGAGCAGTCTCCGGATTCTATGAGAAGTATGTGTAGTGCTTGGGCTCTTCTCACTACTACACTCGGAAACTACTTGAGCTCGATGATCGTTACCCTTGTGGCGTGTTTAAGCGGGAAATATGATGTTTGGATTCCTTCAGACAACCTTAACATAGGCCATCGCTTTTGGTCTGTCTTGGTTGTGTCAACATTCCTGTTTTTGTCTTCTTCTCTGTTAAATACACACAGAAGAAGGTTTCCTAAGGTTGTAATCCACCCGAAGTCATGCATGCTACCATGGAGGACCTTGTTTATACTGAATCAAGAAGAATTGTTAAATAAGAAACATTGTGGGCTGTTTTGTAAAATTTGCTTCGAAGAGAAATAACAGAGAAAAGTCTAAGTGGTTTAAAGGAACTTCAATCTTAATGGTTCATGGACAATAATTATCAAAGAAGAGTCATTTATGGCTCAGACTTAATGTATATAGAGCTCAAAGCATTTAGTTTTTAAAAACAAATAAACTTGACTTAGAGCAGAGCTTTTAAAACAGAGCGAAATTTAAATAATATACACTTTGCAAAAACATATTTCCCCATGCATGCAAACCTACAAAAAGAGTGTATTGTTTTGAATACAAAACATAAACAGTTTGAGAAAACAACACACATAAACCAAAGAATTAAATTGAATTACCTGTCTAGAGCATGTTTAAAGTGTTTTGAACAAACAGTCATATTGTAAATTGTATACTCAGCTTTGGTAGTTGCATTTTCATAGCCTCCATGCTTATCAAGGAAGTCGCAGAACTACAAAACCAAAAAAAAAAAACACACAAAATTAAAAACACCTCTAAACCAAAAAAACACAAAGCTAATCAACAAAATGTTACCTCAGTTCCAGAGTATTTCGCTGTTCCTCTAAAGACCATGTGCTCTATCAAATGAGCAAGACCTTTAAAACCAATATGATCATCAAAGGTACCCAATCCTACTGCCATAGAAGCTGAGGCAAGACCTGCGTCTTAAGATGAAATCAGAATGACAGTGAGACATTGTCCAGGACAATGGATTTGTACTCCTTTGAAGTGTACGGAGGTTTTATTGTGTCTGCATCTACATTATCATCACCATCTTCAGGATCGGAAGGATCTTCAGAATCGGCATGTTCCCTTTTCTTGGAAGAATCTTCTTCAAACCGTCTACTTTTCTGCTCCCTTTCCTAGAAAGGATCTTCTTCAAGCCGTCTACTTTTCTTCTCGCGACCCATTTAAAGATGTAAGAGAAAAGAATACGAAAAAGGAAATCAAAGAAGAAGCAGATAATCCTGAAAGTGACAATGGGTTTACTTACATTCTGATTAAGTAAACCCATTGTTACTTACAATCTGAAACAATTCGTTATAATTGATGTATTTGTTGGTCGTTTATTTTTTTTTTGGCGTTGGGGGACTTCAGTGTTTTGAATCGTTCCAAAATTATTATTTTTCCTTTGTTTTTATTGATACTTATAAAATTTGAGACATGATTTTGTTTATATTTTACAAATTCTTAATATGGTTTGGGTTTGTTCCGTGTTATTTTAGCTGGAACTAAAATAATCGTTTATTGGTTTGCCTTGATTGGCAAGGTATCTCTCTATATATCTATACGGTCCGGTACAGTATTTGAATGGCCCGAACCGGAAATATGTTAGGTTTAGCAAACTGTGAAGGACCACAAAAAGATTGGATTGGTTCGTAAACCGTATATGGCCGGTGGTCAGACCTCAAGAAGTCAACATTGATGGCTTATAATCATAACTACTAATATTAAGTTGAGGAACATACAATGTCCAGGTCTATGGGAAAGATGAAGAAGACTTGAAGTGGGAACAACAATGTACTCTTTCTTTAGCATGATGTTGAAATGCAGAGTGGTCAAAAAGGAGAACATTGGGCCTTAGTGATCCTATATGCATTAAACTGTTTCTGACTAAATCAACATCCTATGACTTGATTAATATAAATCTATCATTTTGATCATTTTAATTATAAAAATGCCTTTGATGGAAGAAGCTGAAAGATGAATGCTTACCCCATGGGAGGATAGGGAACTCCCACCGCTGTTTAGGCACGGTTATTATGTAAGAAGAGACCTGTGGTTTTAAGAGAAGAACACAAATTAATTTCATTTTGATGCCTATTCAGAGAAATGTATATATCATTTATAAACAGAAGAGAATGAAGAGCAATTAAATAACCAAAATGGAAGCAGCCAACGATGTTGAAGAATGATAAAGAACTGATGTCTCCTTCTCGTAAAGAAGATCCATCATGTCCATACATGCTTCAAAGTTCAACAGTTCTCCAACTTTTGCAACTTCTCTAGTAGAAGACAATGTGGATTAGGAATTGGAGAATCCAAAACACGGACTTAACACGATATCATTCAAATATTTCACTTTTAAACCAACTTACTTGAACTGGATAAAAAGGTCTTCAAGTAGAGTATAAGCTATATTTAAAGTTGCTAAGTTTATTTTTGTCAATGTAGGGGCTCGGTGTTGTGTGCAACAAACAAGGTGGTTTTGTCGAAGAAGATTTTGTTGTTGAGTTTCTTGCAACAAACAAGGTGCTCTGCAGCTTTACAGTTTTATGTTTGTCAGTTTCTACTCATCTGCATCAGAAATAAGTTCTGAAGTATGATTATAATCCTTTCTTCCAGAATTCTGGATTCAGAGAGCAGAACCAAGTTGACAGTTGTTATGGTTAGTGGCATACATGATGCATGCATAAAATAGCCTGCCTGGGTGTGCTCGGATCAATGCACACATATAGATTCTTACCAACATTTGATTATGATTGTATCTGATCTGCTCATACGCAACTGGTAAGTCTCGTTCTGTTACTTATGCATTTTCAACAATTGGATTGGCGAATCCGTGATCCTTGACTGACTTCTTATCAAATGAGTTATAAACACTTCACTCATTTTTTCCCCTTTGTCATCTGGTGCTTCCAGTCTTACTGCGGATCGGCATTTCAGACTTTAAACCGATAGACCTCGAGAACAGTGCATCTGCAGAAACAACAATTCAGTTCTACTAGATACAAAAACACTTTGCATGAAGTAAAGAAGTGGACTCAGTTTGCATGAGATCCATTTGCAGATTATTACAAATAGCTGCAGATTGCTCTCTGTCACTGACTGCAACAACTACTCTCAGTTCCTATCTACGATAGACTCATCGTTCCCTTTGTGAGAAGATTCACATGTTTAGCTAAAGGATTCACTGAACGTATGGGGATTGGACTTTTCGTCTCTGTCTTGAGCTTGGCGGTTGCAGCTATCGTTGAGACGGTTCGGTTACAGTTGGCACAAGATCAGTACTTTCTTATGGGCACTGCAGGAGTTTTCTTCTTCGTTGGTCGGATTCAGAGGATTCGATGAGAAGCTTGTGTAGTGCTTGGACTCTTCTCACTAGGAAACTACTTGAGCTCGATGATCGTTACCCTTGTGGCGTGTTTGAGCGGGAAAGATGATGGTTGGATTCCTTCTTAACATAGGCCATCTTGACTACTTCTTCTGGCTTTTGGTCTGTCTTGGTTGTGTCAACATTTCAGTTTTTGTCTTCTTCTCTGTTAAATACACACAGAAGAAGATTTCCTAAGGTTGTAATCCACCCGAAGTCTGTAACTTCTTTTGGCAGTTGTTCGTTTTATAATGCCACCATGGAGAATCTTGTTCGTACTAGTATCAAGAATATTTGTTAAATAAGAATATTTGTTAAATGAATTAGTTTTACTCTAAAACTCTAAAACTGTTATCTAATTATTTGTTTTATAAATTTTCCTGTAACTTCATATTTTATTGGATTGAGTATTGGTAATCAATTATCTAAAATTCTAGTGTTGTTAATCTAAAATTTGGGTTGTAGAAATTTGAAAACCATTTGAAAAAAAAAACTGCAAATAATCCATAGCTTCGTAGTTAAAAAATAATTATGTCAGATAGATATATTGATTTAAAATATGAACTGGAACTTTTTATTAAATATATATATATATATATATGGTATAATAACTTTAGTATCATACTATGTTGGATCAACTTTAGTTTGATGCTTGCAAATCATTTAAACACACTAACTGAAGTTTTTATTCACATAACCTTCATCAAACCTCTTTTTTTAACTTTATCTAAATCAAAAAGTTATAGTCTTAAAAAGCTATAAAGTTTCCTAAACTTTCTAAATTTCTGAAACTGTCTCAATGATATTTCTAATTATATATAGATATTTCAGTTTAAAAAATTTTACCTTTAAAAAAACCCATTATTACTAACAATTTGAAATAGTTCATTATAATTGATTTAATTGTTGGAGCTTATTTGCAATAAAAACACAATTAATAAAGAGTTTACATTTCACAACATTGCATTTGGCTTTATTAACTCATAAATTTTTTGCACAAGGTTGGTACTTAACATTTGTGTAGATTTATCATTGCTTATCTTAGTTGAATCGATGATTTCTTTGAACCTCCTTTTGCAATCAGATGCACCTAAGTGCCTCTTGGATAAGAATGATGCTGCAATACGCTCCCAGTCCAATGTCCCATACTTCATCACACCAATTATTACTGCATGATCATCAGCACACATGGATCTGTTCTTATTTGACATGATTTTTGTAAATAAATCTGAGAGAAATTGAAAAGGTGAATTATGGAAACAGTAATGATGAGATGATGAGATGAACAATGATGGAGACAGATTATATAATATAATGATGCGATGAAATGAAATGTGAAATACACAACTAACAGACTTAGTAAATTAAAAAGTAACCATTTGTTGTTTCTATTCTTTCTTCCTCTCTCCCCACACAACTACAGACTTAGTAAATTAAAAAGTAACCGTTTATTGTTTTTCTTTTTTTTTTTTCTTCCCCCCCCCCCCCCCCCCCACTGTTTGAAATTAATCTAGTATCCAAAAAATATTAAAACCGGTTAAAGAGGTTAAATGATTTTGCATATTTCAGCGGTTAAAAAAGTTAAATGGCTTCGATTTATAGATTTTTTTACTATTTTTTTTTTTACTTCTTGGTTGCTTTTCGCTTGATCTCAGGTATTTATAAAAAAAATAACTTATAAATCTTTCTTCTTAATTCTTTCAAAAGTTTACAAAAAATAAAAATAAACCTTTAATTTGTTTTTGTTTGTTCCCTTCATGTCTTTTAATGATTTTTTTTTGTTGCCAAGGGTTTCTCTTTTAGTGAATTGTTTTTATAAAAGTTCCCCATGTCGTCAATCTATATGGATTCTTTCACAGTGTGTTTTTTAACTTTTTATATGGAATATTTGTAGATTATTATTCTCTTCCACGCTAAGAAGAAGGTCTAAAGATGTCGTCATCATCATATAACACAAGTGTTGCTCCGCTTCATCATCATCATCTGCTCAGCCTTTTTTCATCACCGGCTCCGACGCCGGAGATAACGACTTTGACTGGGAAGATACTTTCATGTCAATGATTCAACAACCAAGAAACGAAGGAACCCAAGCAGGTATCTCTTACATATATATATTTATCAATATGTTTTTCTCTAAAATCACGATAACTAGGCTTTGAGAGAAAGGAAAAAAATCCGTTATAGGAAATAAATAAATAAACCTAACTCTTCTTCTTTTTACACTCGTATCAAGATTTCATTATTATCGACAGGCCATTAATTTATATATATGTGAGATCTGGTTTTCTTTCTATATGCATGTTTGTAATTGTTCGTATCATTGTCTTGATTTAGACCCCGTAGATTAACAGTTTGGATCTCACTAATTGCTACAACCAGATTCGTATGCAATGTGTATGCAACAACGGGTTTCAGAGAGAACAGAATCTACAGCTTCACCGAAGAGGACACAATCGCCCATGGAAGCTCAAACAGAAGTCTACCAAAGGAGTGAAGAGGAAAGTGTATCTTTGACTCTTTGTCCGGTTATATGCTTATATACATCACATGAGATACATTTAAATCCTAGAATATACATTGGTCATTATCTCTAATAAGATGCAGTCCTCCGGCAAGGAACCGAACGGCGACGTTTCCCAAATGTTCCCACCTCCGCCTTCGCTGCTAGATCCGACGGGGTGTTTTTTTTTTTTTCTCTGCATCGTCTACAATTTATAGTTGGAAAAGCTTGAGAGAGACAGGCCAAAGACTTTTCGTGGTTTCTTCTGTCGTTGAAAAGTCGTTACTATCTCGCACATATTGACGAAACTACCTTTCTCTGCATTAATGTGCACGTTCCGGATCATTCAACCAACATAAGGTGAGATCAGGATCATGAACTCGTCTTTGGCAAGTGAAAATAAAAACACACTTTAAAAATGTTTATGCCAATGAGAATGATGAATATAAACTGTCCCGGATCATTCCAACCAACATAAGGTGAGATCAGGATCATGAATAACACAAATCTGTTCGCTCAACAAGGATGGTCCATGAGGCAAACCATAATCTCATTCGAGATCCCTCCCGCTACTCTCGGGATGTTCGACACTGCAAGTGTCCTCATTGTAAAGAAAAAACCGATAGTGCTTAGCACTAGCCCAATATCGTAATACCGGAGAGACCCAAAAGAAACAAAGACCCTCTAAGTATGAATAATAAGATGAAAGAACACTTAGAGAAAACTTGAAAGAACCTTAGAGAGAATAAGAGAACTTATGAAGAACACTCTTTCTTTATTTGTTCAACTTCTCATTGTTTACAAATGATAGAGTATTGGGCTATTTATAGGCTCCACTTATTATAAAATATCTTACAAACATTCTCCTAATCTTTAGAATTCTCTACAATAATATCTAGATTTTTAACTACAACATCTAGTATTACCTATACAATTATCTAGATATTTAACTAATAAAATTCTCTAGAACACTTAAGAAAGATGATGATTTTTAGCGATGTTTCTAGAGATTCTAGAACTTGTGCTTAATTTTGGACTTAATCAAATAACTAATAATTATTTTATAAACCCAAAATTAAGCTTAACCCAAAATCAAGTTTAACTTCAATACTCCCCCTTAAACTTGATTTTGTCAGCCATCCCGAGCTTCAAGCAAAGTAACTCGAACTGACCTTTTGGTAATGACTTGGTGAAGATATCCGCAACGTTTTCCTTGCTTCGAACTTCCAAAGCTTCAATTGTCCCATCAAGCACCTTCTCCCTTATGAAGTGATGCTCTAACTCAATGTGTTTAGTCCTCCCATGGAACATCGGATTATTGGCCAGCTTGATCGCACTTTGATTATCTCCATAAATTGCAACTGGCTTATTGATTGGCTCGAACAGATCTTCAAGGAGTCTCCGAAGCCAGATACACTCTTGAGCTGCTAGAGTTGAAGCTTTATACTCTGCTTCAGTTGTAGATAACGACACCGTTGCTTGCTTCTTACTGCACCATGAGACACTTGTGTCCCCACATAGGAACAGATAGCCTGAAGTTGATTTCCGATCATCAAGATCTCCACCAAAGTCAGCATCCGTGAAACCATAAAGAGAGACCTTGGCATTATACTTGTACACCAGACCCATGCCAAGAGTTGTCTTCACATACTTCAATATCTTCTTTGCCGCTTCTAGATGTGGCTTCCTTGGTGTCTGCATAAACCGACTTACAAGACCTACCGCGAAGGCAATGTCAGGTCTTGCAATGGTTAAGTATAAAAGACTTCCTACAAGAGAGCGATAAGGCCGAGGATCAGGTAGCAAGGACCCTTCGTCGCGTTTAAGCTTTATGTTGACGTCCATTGGAGCAGAGCGTGTCTTTCCTTCGTGTACTCCAAAATTCTCAACAATTCTTCTTGCATAGCTTTGTTGGCCGATGAATATTCCATCATTTACCCTTTCCACCTCCAAGCCGAGAAAGTTGTTGAGCTCTCCCAACTTCTTCATCTCAAACCTTATCGACATATCCTCTTGTAAACGAGCAATTTCTGCATCATCATTCCCGGTAATTATCATATCATCTACGTAAAGGAGAACTACCATGTGGACTCCTCCATTCTTCTTGAAGAATAGACTCGGATCAGAGTTTGATGCCACATAACTGCAGAACTGAAGAAACTGAGCAAGCTTTCCATACCAGGCTCGTGGAGCTTGTTTTAACCCATACAAGGCCTTCTTCAGCTTACACACATAATCAGGATGCTCTCGTGATATGAAACCAAGTGGTTGCTCCATCAGGATTTCCTTGTCAAGCTCTCCATATAGAAAAGCATTCTTCACGTCTAATTGCCATAACTTCCAACCAAAACTTGCAGCCAAAGATAAGAGAGAACGTACCGTAGTCATCTTGGCTACAGGGCTGAAGGTCTCATCATAGTCTTCTCCATACTTTTGAGAGAATCCCCAAGCAACCAACCTTGCCTTGAATCTATCAACGCTTCCATCTGTTTTGCGCTTGATCCGGTACACCCATTTACAAGAAACAGGTTGGGCATCTTTGGGTTTTGGAACCAAATCCCAAGTTTCATTCTTCATGAGAGCATTCATCTCCTCCTTCATTGCGTTTTCCCACTCGTCAACACCTTTTGCTTCATCATAAGATGTTGGCTCATCTTCATCTAATGGAGCTGCAAAGTAGCACGAGAAAGTAGTAACGAACTTTGGATCTCTGAACCGAGCAGGTTTAATGATGTCTCTTTTAGGCCTTTGACTAGCCGTGGAACCATGATGTTCCTCCTCATCCTCCTCATCCTCCTCTTGATCAGTGCTCCCCCTTTCACCTTGCATCTCTTCTTCATGACCTTTTTCCTTACTCAGAGCTGGTTTATCACTCTTGGAGGAACTCCCACCTTCTTGCTCAAC